CCTAGAGCGTGAAATGATACGATGAAACGGATTAAGGAAGATTATGTTTGTTTGCCAGGAGAACTGCATCATGTGTGCATTTTTCTTTTCTTACACTCATTGTATTGGTCAGTTGCATTCTAAGTAGGTTAAACACTGTGTTGATCAGAGGCTAGCCTGTGTTGTGGCCACAGTTAACCCTGAAATCTCAGTGGCTGAATACATAAATGCATTTCTTATTTGCGCTATTTGGCCAACACAGCTGGATAGGGTACAGGGGTGGGGAGTTCTCCATTTACTCATTCAGGGACCCAGGCTGACCAAAGGTCCCACCACTTAGAACCTCGCTGGTCTCTGTGGCAGGAGAGAAGAGCAGTATGGAAGCTCCCTCGCTGCTCTCCAGAGCTCCAGCCTGGAAGTGAGTGACCTATATCATTTTTGCCCCCAACCCATTGGCCAGAGGTAGTCATGTGCACCCCTAAAGGGAAGTTGAGGATATTTGAGCAGTAAGTGTCTCTTGCAAAGTTCTCTGAGGACCTGGGCATATAATTCTACTTGCTTAAGAGAGACAATGTAGTGATTAAGAGTGACAGACCCTGGAGCCGGACTGCCAGAGTCTAGAGCCTGTCTCTCCACTTACTAGCTGTGTGGATCTGGGCAATTTACTGAACTTCTCTGGAGCATAATTTCCTCATCTGTAAAACAAGGATAATAATGGGACAAGCCTCACAGAATTATTGTGAGGCTTGATTTTATATATAAAGTGCTTAGAGCATTATGCCATGTAATTGTTAGGAATTATTTAGTATTGCTGTTATTATTATTACTTTTTTTTGTGGTACGCGGGCCTCTCACTGTTGTGGCCTCTCCCGTTGCGGAGCACAGGCTCCGGACACGCAGGCTCAGCGGCCATGGCTCACGGGCCCAGATGCTCCGCAGCATGTGGGATCTTCCCAGACCAGGGCACGAACCCATGTCCCCTGCATCGGCAGGCGGACTCTCAACCACTGCGCCACCAGGGAAGCCCATTGCTGTTATTATTAATCTTCTGGCTTCCACTATAGCACCTGAAAGGAAGGCTAAAGTTTCTGACTCCAGTTGAGGGGACCGGTGGGAAAGAAGTTGTAGTAATTTAGGTGTGTGATGCCAGCATCCGGACTAGGATGATGATTTGGGACAAAGAAAAGACAGGCAAGAGTGAGTGCAAGAGGAGGAAACCCAAGCAGGGTTCACTGGCCAAATACCATGGATGAGAGAGGATGATCAGGTGTGGGTGACCCAGAGAATGGAGCTTGAGTTTGCAGAGAAATTAGGGGGCCCTGCGGAGAAAGACGATAAGCTGAAAGTCCGGTGTGGTGATGGGAAGTGTCTGAGGCCTGGGAAGCTACAGGAAGCGGAGGAATGGAGCCATCTCTTAATGAACATGTTTCTGTAGGAGGTGACATCCTCGTGCTCCAAGTCAGGCTACAGGCACTGGGGCCAGTGCCTGTAGTGCACTGGATTGAGTCCCCAGCTCCATGTCCCCATGGCCTGGCACTCCAGTTTCCTCATCAGCAAAATGGAGAAAAAGTTATACCCACCTCTTAAGGTAATGAGGATTAAATGTGATAATGCCTGTCAGGTGCTCGAAAAAGTGGCACATAGTAAACAGTCAATAGTCATTCCTTGTCAAGTAATCGAGCTTTTGGTTGAGTAGAAATTTGAGGATTACTTTTTAAGTGACCAGTTCTTCAGAGTTTAACATAAAACAAACTTCCAGTGACATCGGTTCTCATGAGTGCATTTAGTCTTCCCTGGATTCAAAAGAGTGGGCTGTGTTGTCACCAGATCAGCTCTTCATTTTTTCACTCTTACCCGGATAGTCAATGAGCAAATGTTTTTAGCTTTGCAAAGAATAACAAATTACAGTGGGCTAAGAGTGACCAAAATAGACCATTTTAAAGGCTAATTTAAGGTCAGTGCTTCCTCTTTTAAAATTGCCTGGTACTCTTTACTGATCGGTAGGAGTCACTGCCCTGGCCTCTTGAAATATAAAATTGTTTTCAAGCAGAACATATTTCTGTATCGAGATTTAAATTGGCTTCTTGGGAAATTAGTTCTGTTCTTTAATATGTCTAGTTTATATTGCAGGGTCTTAGAGGGTCTTTGTCTTCAGTTACACAATTACGTATTCTCTAGCATATGTAATTAAGCATTTAGAGTGTTTCTTTTCATTTCATTGAAAAATTAAGAACTTCACAGATATTTCAGTAGGGCTTTAGTATTTTGTTAGTAATAGTACAAAACAGGTGCTATTCAATTAGATGGATATCTGAGAGCCTTCTGTGGGCGAGGCTCTGTACCATGCACTGTGTATATAACCTACGACATTCTCATCCTCAGGGAACTCATATCATAGCCTGAGTTTGTAATCTACCTACTCTTGGTTATTTGTCCTATTTAAGGGTTAGCTAACCTGCTGGCCTATAACAAAACAAGCCTTGTAATACTTTTTTCAGGGTCTGTGTGATTCAGTTCTGTCTTTTTTATGGCTGGGATATGAAGTTAGGGTTACATTCCTGATGCTGCCTCTAGTTTACCAGGTGCCTTTTCTGAATTTAGGTTTCTTTATAAAGTGTGGGTGATACAATCTGCTCATCCTGTTTCACAGTATTGTGAAAAGGAAGACATTACATAATGCATGGACTATTTTTGTGAATTATTGCACTCTTCATATATACATGATGTCATTTCTAAAATCTAACCTTTACTATTCTATACTATCTATTCTGTACTATCACTGAAGTGTCTACATGTTTATACTGACTCAAATTAAGTAGCTTTGAGAGGTTTTTTTAAATTAATCAAATGATCCTTTTAGAAATAAAAATAAAATTATGGAAGAGGTAAATACGGTTAGCTGCCATATAACTATCAGCTTTCCTAGGTGATTTTTCTTAGCTACATGTTATTATTTAAAATTGTTAATAATATATCACCTGACTGCTGGAGAAAATATTTATAGGTTGTGATTTTCCAATAATGTATTATATATAAGGCCACCTCCTTATTTCTGTAACAGAACACAAAATTATACAACATTGTCCCTGTTCTCCAAGTTTACCAACTCCTGAGGGAAATGCATGGGAGATAAACCTAAAGCCAACTAATACTACAAGACACTGGGAGGGTGCCCCAAGGCCGCGTGTGAACAGTGGCTTCATGAATGAAATAGGAAGTAAGGTCCTTTTGAAGGAGCGAATAGCTGAATTGACTAGAGTACAGACCTTTTTTTTAAAAAGAGTAATTGGAAGTAGGTTTAAGGTTTACCTTTTTTGGCAGTATGGCTACTGATGATTGGATAAAATCATTTGCGCAGACTTGTGGTATAGTGGAAGGAGGGAGAAGACTACTCAGAAAGAAGCGTGTGTCATTCCTTTGTCAAGTGACATAGGTATTTACTACCTTGTTAGGAGGATCTTAAGAACTGACCATTAGCACTGAGAGGACTCTCTTATCTGCTATGAAACAGCATGTTGGTTTATACATACAATAGTCTATGCTGGAACATAGTCATAGAGCTAGTGTGCCATAAAGATGATCTGAAATTCAGGAAGCTTTGTTTCTGGTTTTCCTTTAGCAACTTTAACAATGGTTTCTCTTTTGGGATCCAACTCAAATGACTACATAAGTGCCACCCTGCATAAAATTTAGTGTTTTGCCCTTTTTTCTCCTTCACTTGGAAAAGTTTCTTAGATGGAGTGAAGGATCCTGACTTGGATCCTTGTGGTCTCACCTGTCTCCTTGAGGTGAAACAAGGACCAGTGCCTATTTTTGACAGTGGCTTTTTAAGGTCAGCTAGCTATCTGTGAAATTAACAAAATACAAATCAGAAAGCACTCAGTAAATGGTGCAGAATCAACCATTAAGATTAGTTTTCTTACAGGATAAAAGTTGAAAATGAGTAAGAGAAGACTTTAAAAGAAAATATTTCCAGGATACAAAGCCTAATAAAAATTTTAAGTATGACTCATGACACAGCATTTCATTTCTTTAGTTCCATTATCAAACTTGGTATCATTGCTAACATGTATTGGGATAATTTGGGGATTCAGTAAAGCAAATTTGAGCTGGCAGATGGGTGACTGTACTTGCAGAGGTCATGCTACTCATAAAAAGGTATTTATTTGAGCAAATATATAATGTTGTAAAGAATCCTGGCTACTCTGAAGTTTATGATTTTGCATTTTACTCCCCATCTTCTTTAGGCAAGCGACAACTACACCCCACTGCTCATTCTCCCTACCCTTTCTGGTAACCCAAACCCCTGAAATACAGATACAGGGTACTGTCAACTTCTGTATAAATAAGAAACCATCCCCTAGGGACCCAAGAAAAACCATGGCTATTTGTATATTTTTTTATTCTCAAGAAGAATTTAGCAAGTGGTGCCTCCTGCCACATGAAGTCCTTGTCGTATTCCTGAGCAGTGGCCCTTGAATGCTATGCTGGCTGTTTGGGAAGAGCTTTCATTGCATTCATCACCATAATGTTGCTGTCCAAAATCTGTCTACTGCTAATTTTATCCTCCCTGTAACTTTCGCTGAGAGTTGACAGTGAGCACTGAAGGACATACTCATAATTTTGTAGTATCCAGCTCTTTATTCCAAAGAGTTTTTTGAAATAAAAATTTATGACTCAGAACAAAACAAAACAAAAAAACTTATTATCGAGGAGATAAAGTCTAAGATTGAAAGAAACATGAACTGAAGAAATATGTTATCAAAAAAAAAGAAAAGGAATATGTTACAATATTAACATTTCTACACTGGCAATATACAATTTTAACAGTCTTTTTTTCTTTTGCCAAATTATTGGCAGGAAATATTAATGATTAAATTTTTCATTAACACAAAACTTTTCTCTCTACACTGTGAGTTATTAAAATACGCTCCCTTTTGGTGTAGTATTTCATTTACAAATTAGAACTTTGCGTAATGTTGTTCTCAAGTGTAAAAAAATGCATATATATCAATTTACTTCCAAGTTGGAGGTGAGAAATAATGCCCAATGACAGGAATTTAAAAGAATCCTAATTAGAAGTTAAACAATCATTTTGATTTATAAGAAAAGTCCTGCAAAGTTTGTCATACAGTTTACTTTGCTATAAATCCAAGATTTAATTCCTTTTTACTTTCCATTTAAAGACTTGGAATGTATCATCATTTGAGTTTCCGTCATTTCACGTGAGTTTTCTTCAGGGGCTGACTTCACGGCACTGGAAATTGATACACTGACTTGACGTTTCAGCATCTTCATGACCTTTCTCTTGTACCCTTTACATGCAAAGAAATATATAAAAGGGTCCATGCAGCAATTGAAGTTCATCAGGCATACTGTGAAGTGCAGAGATATCTGGAATGAATATCTTTGGCTACATTCCAGGAGATCAGGAAAACGAAGCTTCTTAATCATGTGTTGAATAATTGCAATATGATAAGGTGTGAAACAGACAACAAACACAGCAATTATAAAAATAATTGTGTTGAGAGCCTTTTTGTTTACACCAGATTTCTCAGTTAATGGGTTTTGTTTGGCAGTTTTAAAGAGCTTGCAACAGATTTGAGAATAGCAGATAAGAATGATTACGAGCGGAAGTACATATCCTATGAAACATGCACCAAGCAGAATCCAGGGAAGAGATTTGGTTTCTTCAAAGTTTGGATATTCCATGCACGTAGTCCTTTCAGCCTCCTGCTTTGACATAGGTTTTATGAGCAGTGGGAGTGTTTGAGCAAATACGAGAATCCAGACAAATATGCAAATGCATTTTGCATGTTCAATTCTTTTCATCTTGTTGTACCGCAGGGGGTGCACCACAGCAAAGAAGCGGTCAATGCTCAGGCAGGTCATGAAGTTCACGCCTGCGTACGTGTTGATGTAAAACACGAGAGCAGTTATCCTACACAAGGCCTCGCCAATTCTCCAGTCAAAACCCAGTGCATAGTAGGCTATCCGTGTAGGCAGAGCAGTGGTGAAAAGTATGTCTGAAATCACCAAATTGGTTGAATATAGAGTGGTAGAGTTGATTTTTTTCCTGTTTTGAATAATGACAGTCAAGGCCAACAAGTTTCCCACGAGCCCAATTATAAAGACGATGCTGTAATGCAGAGGCATGAGGATCCTGGCGGTGCGGTGGTGGGCATAGAGGTCACAGTCGCCTTCCAGAGGAGCTTCAGAAGGTGTAGTAAAGTTGTCCATTTTTATATCCATCAGCAGTGTTCAAGGTCTCTAAAAAAACCAAGAAGGGTACGTTTAATTAAAAGCATATTTAACTAAAAGCGATTAAAAACTGCCTCCTATAGATCTAACTTTTAAAATTTCAAGATTGATATAATTTTTTATAATCTGTGATACGTAATGTGGTTACATACTATATAGTAACAGAAAGAGCAGAGAATAAAATTTATGTTTTTTACTCTCACAATTTGGTGGTTTTGGCAAAGCTCTGGCAAAGGAAATAGAACCGTTTAAATAGGGCAAATGTATTTTTGCGAGAAGAGGGACTGCACTGACTTTTTCGGCAGAAATTTCCCCTTCCTTTTTCTGAATCATCGTCTGGTTAAGAGTAAAATCATGTAAAGCACCCCACGTTGCAGGAAGCCTAAAACTTTGCTTTTACATTGAATATCAGTTGGACTTTTTTTTTCCGCCAAATGCGTATCACTGCCAGGAAATGAAATCAGTCACACATTTATGTAGTGAAATATGAACTTACCACAGTGATCTGATTTGTGTTAACCCAAAAATTGTGAGAAACAAGCTAAGGCCTGTGTTAGGTTTTCTTAAAAAAAAAAGAAAGAAAGAAAGAAAAGAAGACGATGACCACAGCGACCCCAACACAAAAAAAGAAAAAGAAACAAAAAGGGGAAAAACGTAAGAGCTTCAAGGGGAAACTTTAAAATTAATGCAGACACCCCGCTGATGCATGCAGTATGTGTTCCTACATATACACACTGTAGGAAGCATTACACATGTGGTGTTCTGTGTTCTGCTTTATTCATTTACCATGTTCATGGATCAGTGTCATCTATATTTTTGTCATATGTGTAGATCTTATATAGACATTTGTTAGATATTCTGCAGTATTACAGTGTGTTAATGCATAATTTGCTTACCTACTCCCTTTATGAATATCTGGATTATTTCCAACTCTTTTCTTATTATAAATAATGTCTAAGATGAAATTTCAAGTCCTCAGTTGAAAAGTGGAAAACTCCTACAATAAAACTCCATATATGAGGCTGAACTTGGATAAAACTAAGGAAGAGAAGAGCAACAAATTCTGTGAAGTTATTTTTAGAAGAAAAATAATTTTCTGATAGGTCTATCTCTATGCACAAATCTGAAAGTCACCAAAGCTGAGGGAAAAGTTCAATTTATCTAGTGATGATGGTACTATATGTTAAAGGAAAGAACTCTATCCCTAGCCTTATCAAATCTACTTCTCTGACTGCTGTATTAAATGAATTGGAGCTCTGCTAACTTAGTTCTAACCTTCTTAAAACAGTGATGCTGACGGACAAGGAGGGTTCTAAGAGGATTGCGCTAATGTCATAGGTGTGCATTATCTACAGTGTTGATAGGTTAGTCATGAAAATATGGGAATACAACCTAAAGCAAAAGGAAGCAACAAAGGGAGTAGAACTTTTTACTAATCAAGGGAATACAAGAAAGGAGACTGGGAAAAAGCAAAGGAATGAGGATGATAGGTGGAAAACACAAAATAAGAGGGTAGGAAATGCGTCACAACAAATTTAAATGGCTTGAACTCACCGATTAGAAGACAGAGACTGTCGGTTTGGATTTTTAAAAATCCAGCTGTATGCTGCTTAGAAAAGAGGGAACTCAAAGCGATTTGGAAAGTTTGAAAACAGAAGCACGGGAAAACACATACCAGGCAAACCCCAACCAGTGGAAAGCCAGAGTAGCAATATTAACATCAGAAAAAAATAGAATCCAAGGCACAATCAATATTAATAGGGGTAAAGAAGGTCGCTACACAAGTTAAAAAGAACAGTTCACCAAGGACATAAAAAGAATCATGAATTGTACGTGTAACAGCAAAATTTGACAGAATTTAAAGGAGAAATGGTCAGATCCACAGCCATAATGGGAGATTTTAACACATTTTTATTAGAATATGACAGGTAAAAAAAAGATTGACCCAACATGACTTAAAAGCTAACAGAATTTGTGCTGAAAGCACATTAGAATTATTTGCAAATTTAACCATGTACTAGATCATGAGAGGTGTCTCAGATTTCTCAGAAAGTCATTAGCTAGCAGCTCACATTCCTTGTGAGTAGTACAGTGCAACTAAGTTAGAAATCAAAAATAAAAGGATAAAGGATGCACTTGGAATCTAAAAATATATTTTTCTGAGGAACTCATGGGTTAAGAAATCACAATGCAAAATTTGAAGCGCTTAGAACCAAAGGACAAAAATACTACGAAACTGTGGAATGCAGCTAAAGAGTTAATCCGAGATTGACGCAAAACCTTGAATGCATTTATTTCTTAAAAAATTGAAAATAGCTAAGTTAAATATACAGCTCCAAGAAGCTAGAAAAGAACTGTTTGCCCCCAAAAAGTAGAATAATAAAATTAATTGGAGATATTAATGAAATAGAAAACAAAACAAACAAAACCCAATAAATATGGACTTTATATTTTGTGCGGGGGTGGGGGGATGGAGTGATTCTTGAAAGGGAAATTGTGTAAATCGCAGTTGTGGAATAAAAGTAGGAAAACTTTATGCAGTTAGTATGCAGTCGCTGATGTGAGAAGTGGCTTTCAGGAGCCGAGACTGGACATGAGGGAGAGGTGGAAATTCCAGGCACTGGTTGTAGTTTAGGAACAGGCATCAAGAGCTGCCTTTATTTTTCTAGTTTTTGTGAAAAAAATTTTTTTCTGAAAATCTCAACATGTAAATTTTATTTCGAGGAGTCTTCCAAAGCAGGTTCCTAGGAACCGCCTTTGAAATACATGGTGAGGAAAAAAATACACTGTGGAGTCTGCTAATCCTCCATCTGAATAATAATTATTGTAGAGATTAGGAAAGTTACCCTAATGTATGAATCAGAGAATGTGCCATTGCCTGCCAGTTGTAAATGCGTGCCCAGCTGCTTCACTGAATGAAATAAAGCATCCAGTAGAGTCACAAAAGGCAGTGTTTTCAGAACATTCTAAGTTAAGAAAAAGATGTTTAACACAGTATTAATTTTAAGTGCGAAAATTTGCAACCAAATCAAATGTCCATCATTAGGGAACTGGTTAAGTATTTTATGGCCATATAGTAGAATACGATGCAGCCACTGAAAATGGCAATGTAGATGCCTATTTCCTGACAGAGAATGATGTTAAGTAAGGAAAGCAGGTTCCACAACAGGCCACTTTGCGGGTAGGAAAAGCAGCTGTTCACACACACATCCCTGCATGGATATATAGGCCAAAACATAATTCACAAGTACAAGTAATTTTTGAGTTTCATCATATATTCTAAATTTTTAACACCAAACATGAATTGACTATGAAATGAGTAAATAGGTAAATAATTTTTTTTAATCTGAAGAAATCTTTTTTGAAATTCAGCTCTTCTTGCAAAAGCCTTGTCCTCTGACATACTTTTCAAAGCTAGTGCTCTTTATTCAGATTTATGCCTTAGTTTTCGCTAGGTGCCTACCTTAAGTCACGTCTGGAAGAACCGTCCCAGCAGCCCTGCAAGCCAGGTGTTGCCATCACGCACCCACTCTCCACTCGAGGAAACCTCTGTCAGAGAAGGTAAGGGTCATGCTGGATCCTTCTCTCTGCCAACCTGGCTTCAAGCCTCCTACTCTGTCCAGTCCTCGGCAGGGGCAGCTGCTTCACGCTGCCTTTCAAGAACTGAGAGTTTGTAGTTTCAAAGTGGTCTAGGCTTCAGGGCCATCCTCACCTGTACACAAACAGCTGGGGCACATGTGGCCTAGCCATTCCAGAGCAGGGAGACGATTCTTCCAGAGGACAACGGGACTCCCACTCCAGGAGAGGTGCCTTCCCAAGTGGGAGGCCAGACTGGTGGACACTGCGTCATAGAGCCCTGAGGGGGAGACTGGGGAAGGGCTGTTTGCTGCCCGCCCCTGCCCCGAGTCGGTCCAAGAAAGGCACTTGCACAACGTGGATGTGTAAATGGGCTGACCCAGAGGATCTCAAGTAAAGGAGAATCTGGGCTGTTTTGAAATGTGTTCTTTTGGATATTTAGTAACCTCTGGAAGGTTGATTCCATCCGTCAACAGCTCTAGTATATTACCTTTGGTGTTACTTATCCTGTGTTACTAATGCTATAGTTTTAGTCCATTTTATCTTTTCCAAATTGAGAGAAAACCACTTTCACATACTTGACTGTTGTTATCCTGTTCTTATATCAACCAGTCCCAATTTATTATCATCTTCCCTCGGAAATATTATTTTATCCCTTCCTTTAATCATTTCAGGATTCAGGATTACTTTCCTGAACCTTGACTTACTCCATTCTTTTATTCAGCAAAAATTGGGTTTAGTGCCTCCTCTATATGCTAGATCCTGGAAATTCAGAAATGATACCTTTTAATGTCTGAGGACCTCAAACTGAAGGATGGATGTTGGGAATGTGCTGTTGTCTGAATGAGGCGTTATCTCAGTATTTGCTATGTTTCTTCTCACACACACACCCGGGTTCTGCTTGCTCTTTGCATTACAGTGCTCCTTTACCAACCTTTCGATTGCAAATTCCCCTTTTAACTGTTTCTAGTCCTTCCTCTTTTAGTCATAACTAAATCCTTTCTTTCTTTCTTTCTTTCTTTCTTTCTTTCTTTCTTTCACTATATTTTAAGTATTTGTCATAATTATTAGACAACAGCGTCTGACATGGTATTTAGGATAGATACACTGAGTTGTACTTGAAAGTATTGATACTATGGCTCGTCATTTTATTGCCTTAAGAAAAGCATAAAGAAATGTTTGTTCTAAATTTTTTTTCCTTAGAATACTTGTACCTGTAATAATTATAATTTCCTCATAATGCTTTCTGATGAAAAGATGTACAATGTCCCTAAATTGTCCTTAGTGCCTCACAGCTGAGAGACAAGAATGAGGATTGCAAGCTTTGCCCTGAGGGCACAGATTGTACCTGGGCTGCGGGAAGTATGGGTCCTTATTCAGGTTCCACCCAAGGAACTACGGGGCAGCCATCTGTGCCAGTTCTCTTAACATTT